TCTCGTTAAATATTTAATCTGTTTTTCCTCTTTCTCTCCTACTCCCACTCTGACTCGGCATAAGGTCAGGATTCCTTGACTGGTCATCACAATAGATTTACTTTAAAAATACCTCTGTGAGAGGCCACAGGCCGTCTGAATTGGTCATTTAATCCAAATACACCAAAGATCACTCGATCAATTGCTCAATATATTTATATGCGGTCGTATTAATTATGCTCTTTGTTCTTCCTCTCTTTTCTGGGAGGTTCCAGGGAGCAAGCCTGCAGGCCTCTATGAACAAGGATCCTGGCCAGGGCCCACCCAGTGTGCGCTTGCCCCAGCACTCCTTATAGAGAGCTGTTTCGGCATGTCTGGCTCCTCTGTGATACTCTGAACTCTGGAGGGCAGAAACCAGGCCTTACTCAGCTCTGGGCCACACTCATTCACCAGACGTATATCTGGCACCTATAGTATGCCAACACCAAGGCAGGCCCTGGGAATATAAAGATGGTGATTAGGACGTGGTCCCTGCTCTCAAAGGAACTCTGTTTATGGGGAGAGAAAGAAATGTGATAATTATTAGCATCTACTTTTTGCCAACCAGAAAACTGAGGCCTCACAACATTCTTTGACTTGTACACAGAACTGTGACAAGGCAGTTTGAATACAGCAGTTCGGTTTTAAAATGCTTGAAACAGGCCGGGCGCAGTGGCTCATGCCTGTAATCCTAGCACTCTGGGAGGCTGAGGCAGGAGGACCACTCAAGGTCAGGAGTTCTAAACCAGCCTGAGCAAGAGTGAGACCCCTGTCTCTATTAAAAAAAAAAAAATAGAAAGAAATTAATCGGCCAACTAAAAATATATAGAAAAAATTAGCCGGGCATGGTGGCGCATGTCTGTAGTCCCAGCTACTCAGGTAAGGCAGGAGTATTGTCTGAGCCCAGGAGTTTGAGGTTGCTGTGAGCTAGGCTGACGCCACAGCACTCTAGCCAGGGCAACAGAGTGAGACTCTGTCTCAAAAAAAAGCTTGAAACATACTGGTGAAATTGAATGAATAAATAAGTTATTGGTAGGAAGTAGTAGAAACATTGGAAACTGTAATAGAAGAAACTATGATAGAAGAATAGTTAATGTACATTTACTAGGTAGTTATTTTATTATTAATTCCATTGTGGTGGTTCTGAAAATTATTTAAGTACATAGAAAATGGATGGTAACTAAAAGAAAGAATAGCAAAATATACTTTATCATTAAAATAGAATGATTACAACTCAGACCTATATTTAAATAAATAAACTGGAAGGAAAAACATCAGATAATGGTGGTGATTTTTGTCCTATTCTCTATTTTTCAATATTCTGCAACACAATTCATTTTCATGATGGATAAAGGTAAAAACTTAGGGACTGTTAGTTTGGGGCTTATGTTTGAGGTATGTGAAACATCAAAGTGACAATAAATAGTAAACAATTGGAAATGGACTTGGAATTCAACTCTGGGTTTATATGCAGGAGACATTACAATAAATGTTAACTGAACTTAAGTTCTAACCATTTTCCTTCCTTTTGGGTCAAAACATTTCAAAATCCTAATGAAATGTGTTAGAATTTTGCCATCATTTGAACTTATATAGGCTCATATTAATGGAGGGGAACCTCTTCTTTTTTCAACTACATACCCGAAACAATTGAGAGGACTCTCCTTTCTTTCCCTGTATAAAAGTAATCTTAATCAGCTAATCTCAAATAACATAGAAAATGCTTTATTTCAAACATATGTCATTTCATAAAGTTTTTTTTTTTTCTTGTACAGAAGGAACATTAATTGCTTTCCTTAATATTGGGATCATGTTTCTTATTCAGGGGTCAAGGTTTGCTCTCACTATTTTCAAATTTTTAATGAAATAGAATCCGGAGGCATATTGAGCCTATTGAATTTTGAGGGACTTTTGACAGTCTAGATATTTTCTGATTACAAGAATTCAGTTCATTAATCTAATGTGCCATATGCTAATTGTGCCACAGCAGGTGTGCTTTGGTTTAGAGGTTGCTTCTTTGGGGGTCCAGAGTAGTATTTAGAAGAAATGACTGTTTCTTGTTGTTACTATAATAAATTGGAGACGTATTTAAAGTGAGGGTGAGGGGAACACGAGGTGATCCTTTCATTGTTCTCGTGCCATGAGGACAGGATCCCCGCGTCCAGCATGCAGACTACGACCCGATGTTGTGTCCTGCCCAAGTATCTATAAATACAAGGATGTGTGAATTCACATCTCACACGTTAGCCACAGGAACTGGTGCTTTTCAGAGCACAGTCCACTTCTTTTCCAACCTTTGCAGGTGGCAAACGTTACTCCTTTGCAGAGTAAAGGAGTCATGGTGGGAAGAAAATAGTTAATTTCTAGGTTATTTACTAGACCATGGAGAATTTGGACTAATTCAAAGTGAACAAATAGGCAGAAATTTTGGTGCTGTGTCATGAGGCTAGCCAAGGGTCTACTTACTGAAAGGAATTCCACACCAATTTCTCACAAAATCTAAAATCCCCACTCGAGCTCAGCTCCACATGGGCCTCTTTCGTGAGTTATATGTATCTTATTATGTTGACTTGAGGAATTATTAATTTCCTAATGGATGTTGCATTAATCCCTTCAATACCACTAGTAGTATGGCCCCTAAGAAAATGGAACATGGGAAGGTAAGTTTAGATGTGCACACAACAAGGGAGTATGGACATAAGAAAAGCCCAAGGGCTGGAGCACAATTACTTGGGGGTTCTTCAGAGTCAGAGGTCACCTGAAGGAACCTAAAGGCCAGGGCAATGGGAAGGGACATAAATTAACCAGGCCCCTCCTGCACGGAAGTCAATGGAATAAATGCCATAAGAGACCAAAAGAAAGGAAAATGTGACGTGGCCTTTTCACTCAAGGGAGTTGCCATTTCAAACAGTGTCTGGAACACAATTAAATAATTATGACAGTTATGGAGTGTTCGTTGTGTGGTTAGGCATCATTGTAAGTGCTATGTATATATTGTCTCATTAACATTCATAACAAGCCTGTGAGATAGGTACAATAACTGTATTCATTTTACAGATCAGGAACTGAGGCACAGGGTGATCCAAAGTCTTTGAGCCTTCAGACCAGGCATTCTGACTCCATAGCCCTTGCTTTTAAGTATTATATTATACCAAGTCCCATGCAAACCTTTTATATTTCAGGGCCTCTGGGGAAAGGTGAAAGAAAAATCTTAAGTGTATGCTTGGCAGAGCACAGTCTGTCTGTGATGCCAGATTTCTTTTACCTCATTACCTGAAGTCGTACAAAATATGGAACATACAAAGAATTATCTTGCTTGCTCTCAGATATTTGGCCTAGGGTAGCTTGGGAGGATCCTTATAATGCAAAACCTAAATCTTTTAATCTGACCCTAGAATATTTTCCTGGGTTGAGGCTAATTGAACCTGAGGGATTTGATTTTGTTATTGTTCTGAAGTCATAGCCAAGAAATATTTTCTTTTTGGTCTTGCTACCTGAAATGTGGGTAGCTGAGCAGAGTTACTTGGTGGCCTTTGATCCCATTAGAAAGTTCTAAATTGATGACTCGATCCTTGAATGAAAGCTGATACTAAAAAAACACCAAGCTGAAGTCACAGGAGATTTGTAGTATAATGTATACATTCACAGTAACCAAGACTTGGGGAAAATAAAATGAGTTTCAGTTGGCTTTATTTACTCACTTGTGACTTTCCTTTCACTCTTGAGTGGTTCTTGACCCACATCTTCCCATATCGGGGACATAGCAAGACGCAAAATCCCTAACTCCGGTTTGGAATTTTAGAAGCTGTCAGAGCTTGATAAATTAGTAGTACTCTCTTCAGTACTCCAAGAAAATCCAATGACTAACAAATGCTGCTAATGAATTTGAATTTCTCAAAGTTCAGGTACTGCTCTAAATTTTATCTTCTTACACTATTTTCTCTTCCGTGAGTCTCCAATTCATCATGTTTGGTCTTTCCTTGAGACCTGACCTGATGACCCCAGGTTTATACATGCACTTGGACCAGGACTAGGGTGAGACTGAGAGCCTTCTTGAATTCTGCAACCTAGGTGCCCCTTTGCCCAAGCACCGTACGGGACACTGAGGGTTGTAGGGCTGGTAAAGATATGGCCCTTACCCTCAATCTGACAGTCCAGTAGGAGACACATATATGAATCAGTGTATGTGGTCAAATTGTTCAACTTGTCAATTAAGCCATGCTACACTCTTTTTCATTCTCTGTAGCCAATTACCTAATGAGCTCAAAAAATAAAGTAATAAGTCCTTCAGATATATGGTTTTCTTAAAAATAATTTGCAGATTTTGCTGAAAACAATATTCGAATACTCCTCTATTAAACTCTCAGAATGAGCCTAAGGAAGAGTATTTTCAGTGCTGTCTTTTACCAACTGGGTGGAAGAATGAAACTCTCTGCTCTTTTGTCTTAATAAAAGAAATCAATAGATGCAAAGGTGTGTGGACTTACCACCTTACTGCTTTGAAAGTGCTTTCTTAAAATTGTAGTCAATTACATCATTATTTTGAACAGGGAGAGTTCATTTGCACTATGGCTTCTAAGTTAGGTTTTTGGAAATCACGCTGCAAAATTCTTTTGTGACAAGAGCAAGGTAGGAGACTGGATGCTCGAGTTCATCAACTTCTAAGTGAGCATATGATGCTTCACCCTGCTTACCTTCTCTCGTTTTGATAAAGTCTGATTTGGATGGTGGGGAAGCTATTCCCCCAAGGCTGTCCACTTATTTGCTTCCTTCCAGCCTGTGAGGACTATCCGTGCTGTCTAGGGTTTAGAAAGGGCCATTCAGCTAAAGGTGTTTATTACGTCAGGGCCATGTTGACTTTCTATTGTGTTACGTACATTTTTCTATTTTCAGTCAGTGGATTTTTTTAAATGCAAATAATTTAGAAACAAGTTTCTATTAATGCTTTTAAATATTCTCCTTTAATTTTTTTTTAATTACAGAGCAAAGAGATTGCATTCCAACTTCATGAGGATTTAATGAAGGTTCTTAATGAGCTTTATACGGTAAGCACATAATCTTTCTTCTTTTGCAAGAATTCTTGGTTTAGAACCTGGTTTGAAGAAACACTGCTCATTTTAGAACTCTTTCCAAGCCAGAGTGTCAGTGGATACTCATCTGGTTGAAATATGGGACCAAGTAGATAGATGTATGCTACTATAGTTCTTTGAACTCCTGCTCAATTTAGAGAGACTATGTGCAAGTAAATCATACATACCATGTTTCCCCCAAAATAAGACCTACCCATAAAATAAGCCCCAGCAGGATTTCGAAGCATTTGTGCAATATAAGCCATACCCCAAAAATAAGACCTAGTGATGGACGTGGCTACGCAGCGTATCTGCACAACCCATGCATTTCGTGGCGGAGCGGTAAAGAAGACGAGCAGCCCTTCTCATCTGCCCCATCGTGACAGCTACTGTCCCAGAGGTGACCAGAAAGGTGCAGGCAGTCCCACCAACAAGGTGGGCTCCCCCTGTCAGGTCCCGGCCATCCTGTGCGTGCTGCAAGCTGAGGCTTTGAGGGGAAAATAACACGTCCTCTGAAAATAAGCCCTAGGGTGTCTTCTTGAGGAAAAATAAATATAAGACCCTGTCTTATTTTCAGGAAAACACGGTAAAAAGCAGACATTGGCAGAATGGATTTTAAAAAGGAGAATTAGTTCAAAACAGTTGGAGACTCTGATAAGCAGCTCGGCAGGAGTCGGCCAGGAGCCCGGGCCGCATGGCCCCGTCCGGAGAATGCCACGCGGCACACACGCTCTTTCCCGCGCACGGGCTCCCCAGGAAAGGCCGCATCAGGCCACGAATCGCACCTCAGTGAATTTTCAGGGACTGAAATGATACAAAGGGCATTCTCCAGCCACAGTAGGGCAAACTAGCGATCAGCACGGGGGCGTGGAAACATCTGAAGCACGTGACCCGTGGACGCTGAGCTGACCCCACACACAAACACGGCGGAGTGAGGACACGGCTGCCGCGCTTCCTCCTCGGCCGCCAAGGCCGCCACCCCAAGCGCAGGCAGCGAGAGCCCCGAGCAGGACCCGGGCTGCGCAGGGACGGCCTGGCACAGGCTGCCACCCGCATCAGCGAGCGTCCCACGGGGACCCTGGTCACGGCGGAGCCCAGGCGTGAGGCCATCTGCAGGGGGAGCCCCACGCCCAGCTCCGTTGGCCGCCCGCGGTGGGGCTGAGGCCGCTCTGGCCACCGAGCGCCAGAATAGCCGGGACTCTCGAGACGCCGCCCACGAGGACACCGCGGAAGGCTCACTGACTGCCCCTGGGGGGGGGAGCGTGGCTCTGGGGTCTCAGATGTGACCGTCGCCGCCGCAGGGCAGGGGCTGCCGTGTGGCCCACGCAGACTGTGATGCTGCCACGCACATGCGTGAGCCGCTGTCTCCCGACGGCCCCAGGTGAGCAGCGGCCCCCCCCCCACATCTGGTCAGAAAGAACCAACCCAGGCAATGGGATCCACCCCCAGGCCTGCAGCGCAGGGCCACCCCCGACCTCGACCCCTCCACCCCCAGGGACACACCCCTCACCCCTGCAGGAGACACTCGTGGTCACCATTCGCAGGCCTGGCGACTCTGCCACCAGGAGACTCACTGTGACACTGGGCAGGCGGGTGGGGCCCGGGCGGCCTGCCGCCCCCCAGCTGCTCCTGCTGGGACAGCCGCCCGGGGAACCTCTGATGGGACCTGCACTGTCACGAGGGGGAGGGGGGGGGACAAGCCCAGAGTCCTGGCTCTTGGCCTTTCTGGTCAGCCAGTGAGAACCCCCGCCTTGGGTCTGACAAGGATTAAAGCTCCCTTTGCACCCCCTCTTCCAGGTAAAGAGCCTGCCTCTAGCAAGCGCACCTGACCTTCGACCCCGCAGTTTAAACGCACAGGGTCCCCTTAACCACTGGCAGAAGAGACCATGGGGGAGGGGACAGGGGGGAGGGGAGACTCTTGAGCAGGTGATGGGCCACCACTCTGTCCCGTTGCAGGCCGCCGTCCCTCTGCTGTGACCACGCACACGCCGGCACCGCGCACATCACAGCCCTGCCGTGGTCCGAGCGTCCCCGCCAAGACCCGCTGGAGCCGCCCCCGAGGGGCTGTGCTGGGGCCGGG